TTTCATGATAGAGAGACTGCAATACAATACTTGTATTAGGTGAATTGAAAAATACTATTTTCTTTTCTTTTTTACAGTGCAAATATTTGTAATAAAAAATAAATATAAAGTGAGCACTGTACACTTCGTATTTTGTGTTGTAATTGAAATCAATATATTTGAAAACGTAGAAAACATTCAAAGATATTTAAATAAAATGGCATTTATTACTGTTTAACAGTACGATTAATCACGATTATTTTTTATCACACAATTATTTTATTTATATATATATATTTAGAGAGAGAGAGAGACATTTGTGTGTGCGTGTGTGTAGTGAATATATGATATTGTGTAACTTTGAGTAACGTCTTGTGGTTTTGGTTTATTGGTTGAATGAATTGATTTATTATTTGTATATTTTTTTTGCTGCTGAGTGGTCATAACTTATTATTCTAAGTTTAACTCTTAGGACATCTACAACTTTTTGTATGGACATCTTTTGTTGTTTAATGAAATAAATAAAATGAAATTGGGATGGCTGAAATACTCATGAATGGCAAAGTGACTTGTCAGTTAAAGCCCATATAACATGCAATCATATCATGTATTCTTTATACACAACATATGTTATAGAAAAACTATGTTTATAAATATTCTAGAACCCACTGCTATAAAGCACTAGGGACCACCTGTGATCTGCTGTGCATCCACATCTCTTCATTGACAGTTCCCAGCAGTTCCAGAGCTGTAAACACTTTTAATGGGTCTATTTTGTATCCTCCACTTGTAAAGCCAGGTGTCTTTTGTTACCAGGAGTTCAACTGTACAAGGCTTAGAGAGAGCCGTAAAATCTCTAAAAAAAAAGATTTGAATTAGATTTTCCATAAGTATAAAATATAGTGACTTTTAAAGTCTATTAATTTGGATCTTTCCAAGATTAGACGCAAAACACTGGGTCTCACTGGGAAGTGGTGGTATAAAATATTTTAAAAACAGAGACTAGTACTTCTTGTTTGTAAGGAAAACTACTACTCCTTAGGTTGAAAATGAATCCCCTACTGCACAAAAATGCCCCTGTTCTGTGGTTTGGGGTATTATGTTACACTGTTAGTTTTTTAACCCACAAAACAATCATTAGGTACTCTAAACTTCAGATGATAGATATTGATATATAGATATGCACACACACACAATATGAGAGAAAGAGAGCTAAAATATTCTTAGCAAAACCACTGATAACTAGTTACTAGTTACTCTGAGTAACTTTAGTTTGTGAGCAGTAACTTTTAAATTACTCAAAGAAGAGATTTGTCTCTTCACTGCCACCTTATTGTATTGTAGCTTACAATTCAGCAGTAACAGAAGAAATGTGTTGGAAAATCTCAGTATGTAAATTATCCCCCCTATCCGCACAGACAGACCCATCCATGTTTTTCAGATAAATACCTATTATTACATCAAATCATTTGTCCACCTACTTCAGTGTCTCCTCTCTGCCATTGCTCATCCTTGAGAGAAAAGGGGGGGCGGGGGATAATGAATATAGGACATAAATCTGCTGTAGCTACAGCTTTCCTCAGGCAAAGCTATTTTATGTTAAAACAAAGGATGATGTAATCTGTCCCATCCAATTGGGAGTTGGCTAATTGCTAAAAAGTAATGGGAAACGTATGTAGTCAGTCAACAAAGGAAGTACATTTTCAATCAGTCAACAGCGAATAATTCATTCAGGATACATACAGTACTCTGTGCATGCATGTGTGTATTATACACACACACCATATTTATGGGGAGATGATATCTATGTGATAAACATATCATAAACCTGTGCAATTTTTCATATTCCTATGATTGTATCACCTATCCACTGAGCCAGCAACCCAGGAACTTACTTTAACATTCCTGACCCCTCTGCAGCTTCTGTCATCTTTTAAAAACAAACTACCATCCTGCCTGAGGCCCAGGAGGTACAAAAATGAGCCTTGAGACTGTTACCAGCTTTTCTAATCATAAAAATGTCAGAGCTTTAAATCTGATGTCTGAAGGTCCTTGAGGGTTAGAAAGAGGATCTTCATACATATATCACTCCTTACTGTTTGACCCAGAACTCAGGTCTAACTGGGAAGGACCCAAAATATAGACAAGTGACTTTAGGTAATTTTGAGTTGTTTTACATATTTGTTTTAATGTTTACCTCCATCGGAACTTTGTACAGTTACATTCATGATATGAAAGACACCTGACTGTACAGATGGAAATGAGATCGTTCCAATAACATTTTTTTGAAGCTCTCTAAAATGTTCCTAGATTAGGTGTTTTTTTTCTGTAAATTATGGTTCATATAGATCAGTGGTTCTCAAAGTCGGGCCGCCGCTTGTTCAGGGAAAGTCCCTGGCGGGCCGGGCCGGTTTGTTTACCTGCCACTTCTGCAGGTTCGGCCGATCGCGGCTCCCACTGCCCGCGGTTCGCTGCTCCAGGCTAATGGGGGCTGCGGGAAGCGGTGTGGGCTGAGGGATGTGCTGGTCGCCCTTCCCGCAACCCCCATTGGCCTGGAGCGGCGAACCGCGGCCAGTGGGAGCCACGATCTGCTGAATCTGCGGACAGCAGGTAAACAAACTGGCCCGGACCACCAGGGGCTTTCCCTGAACAAGGAGCGGACCGGCTTTGAGAAGCACTGATATAGAATGTGTAGTGATGTGTTATAAAGGTTGATATAAAGATGGGATTTTCATAAATGTCAAACCAGGAGCTCAAGTGCCATTCAAAGTCAATGGAACTTGTGCTCTCAAGTCACTGTGGCACATGTGAAAATCCCCACCTTTCTTCTACGTAAGTTTGAGATGAGAATAATTTAACTACCCTCAGGTAAGCCAATAAACTTTTATTTCACACCACGATATAGTCAACATTTATATAGATATGCAGAGAGAGATGTGTGTATGTATTCTAGACATATTTATACAAATATACACACATACATTTAATAATATAACACCTTGATAATATTTATTATTGCAGTTCTTTAAATTGTATGACTTTGGGGGATATGACAGTCTAGTTGTGTACTTCATACCCTTCTCTTGCTGTTTGAGGCTATCAGCAAATAAAAACACATTTACCTTACTTAAAAATAATATTTGCCGGTCACCTTTAATACTCCATTCCACATGCTTCAAATTCTAATTGAAATTTCATCATTGCTAGATTGCTAGATAAAGGACATCGCTTTTTCTCTCCAAAACGATGTGCGCTAACGGCAAAAGCATGAAATTTGTATTCAACGCTATCGACATTATATGTGCATGTCCATCTGTCTCCATAACTGACTGTCATCATTGTGTGTATATGTCTTATAATGATAATAAGAGTCCAATACCTCTCAAGATGTCAAGTTCTCAGGGATAGATTTCTAGCTGTAGGCAACTTGTGCAAAGTACTTCACATTGTGAACATTCTCTGGCTAGTCACTGATTGTATTAGGCCTTTTAATGTAACTTTATAGGCACCTTTTGTTTTTCCACTACATTTCAATTTAAATTATTATCATATGTGATCTGAGTGTTAAGACTTTCCAACTTAGAAAAATATTAAAGAATATTTAAGTGGAATTGCAGGCAACAGGAGATTTATTCAGATTAATGTATGCATTCTGTTCTGTTGTGAACATGTTTTGTTTAAGTTTAAAAACTTAATTAACCAAGGCTTTTATTAAATGAAGAGAGAGTCAGATTTTTGGCTTATATTTCATAATCTATTTTTAAGTAAAATGTAGCAGTGTTCACTATGAAACATCAAGGGGGAATTCTTTGCTTATACTGATTCAACTCCATTAACTTGCAAAGAAATGAACTAGGGTAAATAAGAGCAGGAAGTTAGCTAACTAACACCAAATATTGCCAAATACAGGCTCTGTACACCTCTACCTGAGTGCTCAGCACTTTTGAATGTCAGACCCTTATTTATTTGTATAAATGTGGATTTAGGAGCTAAATGTTAGGCTTCCATTAAAACAAAATCTTGGTGTAAATATATCTTACTGCTATATAAGTTGTGTATTTCTGTCAGGATCTATCTTAGGGAGAAGGCATCATTTATTTACTCTGCCAGTACCACTAATGGCGGGTATAAGCAAGCAGACCCACACTCCTGGTGGTGCATGAGAACAGAAGTCAGATTTATTTTTTTTAATTGACAAGCAGTTTTTAAATAGCCTTTTTCATATTTTTTTTGGGGCGGGGGGGTGAGGTACTTAACCGCTCTATGGTTAGTGGAATCTAATTAAATGTAAAGTTGTGATGCAGGTCAGAGGGTTTTTCTGATGTTGTAAACCTTTCATAGTTTATAAACAAGAAGACCACAACTCAGCGCTGAAAGACAAATTTGCCCCTAATGCGGGAATTAAATATATTTTCGTCACCAAGCAGAAAGACATTAAAATAATTTGTATGCAAAGACCATATTAGATGTGTCTGATTCTGATATACTAACAGTAGAAAGGAAATTGGAGAACCTGTGGTTATCAAGCATTAAACAGAAGCAAGGAACAGCCACTACTGGGCAGTAGACAAATAGAAGTGGTGTATCTTCTGGATCCACAAAAGTGAAGAGGTTTTAAAATACAGTAATAAAAAGGTATAAAGCTAATAAGGTGAACAAAATGCTTTTGCTGTGAAGGTTGTAAATTAGCCTCATTTCTCCACCCAAAACCAAATTCGTAAAGCATGATTTCATATGGTTGTTTGTTATCCATAAGTAAAAGGCTTTGGAGATTAAAACTTTCTCATTTTAGATGGAAGTCCAAATAAAATTTGCTCAGTATTCTGTATTTTATGCTTTCTATTTGTGAAATGTCAATGTGCAGTAAATGAGATGCACCAAGCAAGAGTCTACATTCAGCAATTAGAGTTTCATAATCATATTTAGCATCTAAATAGCACGGTACATCTTTAAAGCACTTTACTGATATTATCTAATTGATTATTTTAAAAGTAATTTTTATTATTCTTGATTTGTCCCAGATCAGAGGAGGAAAGCTCATGATTACCTACACGAGAAAGAATGATGCTGGCAAGTATGTCTGTGTTGGAACAAATATGGTGGGAGAACGAGAGAGTGAAGTGGCGGAGCTCACCGTTTTAGGTAAGAGAGTGTGTGACACTTCATTAGTGAAAATGCCAGTATTTAATACAGCTTCATTTTTGGTATGGGGAGAAGGAGTTTTAAAGTAAGGTTGTCGTTTTTTAATCATCCACCTCCTTTGCTATGTTCATATTGGGCGTGTTCTTGTGACAGTCATGGATATCTGCCTGATGGCATATTCCAGAAAATAAGTTAGCATCAATATCGGTTCTTCAGCACATAGTGGAATATTGTTGAAATAAAGAGGTTTGTGACTCCAGAACAAGATGAAAATCGAGGGAAAAGAGGAAATAATGAACACAAGTCAGCGAACTATGCTGATTTGTGAACAGAAAATGTAGATTTTTTTTTTCACATATGCAGTCAGAACTGACTTGGTTTTCACACTGCAGATAATTCCAGTTTTAACTGAACATAAGAGTATTTATAAATAATATCAAAACAAGAATTAACTTCAATAACAAGCATATGTATCATTTTCCCCTTCCATGAGGAAATTAATATAATATCAGAAATTTAACTGAATCATTTAAGTAATGAAATCTTAAAATATGGATAGATCTGTTTTATGCATACATATATATTGACCTAGTAAAACAGGAGGTGGGCTACCACTTTGATACTTGCTGAGTGGCATAAATTTGCTACCATACAACTAACTCAAATGATCCTAGAAACATTACACCATGTCTAATCATCATTAAAGGGGATTTTCAGTCAAATTAAGCTAACTCAAGCTACCTTTATTGAAAAAGCACATCTTTTCTGCCTTTGTAGACAAGACTCTATGATGTCTGCAGTGCAGCCTGAGAATATCTTTGGCATTTCATGGCTGCCTCACGATCTTCGGTGCGGTCCTGATTCTGGACTCTCAGTGTGAAGTGTTGCTTCAAAGCAGTATAAGGCTTGGAAACAGCTTAACCCTGTTTATATTGGGAACAAACACTTTGAGTGCAGGGTTTACACCCATGAACTTGGAAACTTCACAGCAACATCAAACTTTGAAAATAGCTGGTTTCAGTTCAAGTTCCTCAGTGCTGGCCCTATCTCTAGCAGTGGTATTTTATTCTGTTTGAGGCACTGCCCGCTCAGTGTTCAGTGCTTTGATTTGTTTTCAGTCCAATTTAGAGTTCAGGTGCTGGACATCTTGAAATCCTGTTCAGTGTTTATGAGTGGCAGGGATTCCTTAATATGTTGACAGTATTTAGCATCTCAAACTATGTTGGCATCCTCTCAGCAGTCGTCAAGACAGTGTGGTAATTTTTTTTTTGTGGAAGCTCAGGATATTTTCCTGTATATTGCTGTGATGTTTTCTATTTCAGGTGCCTTTGAAGCACTTGGTTTAGAGGTAAATTTAAGTCAAGTCAACTGTTAGGACTTCCAAACTTTCTGAAGTCTGGAAATTTTCAATAAACTTTGTTTGTATGAATATGGTTCTTATTCTTATTATATAGTAAGTGCCCATACAGCTGCATTGGTTAATTACCCACACCAGTATCTTTTTACCATTATCCCAGGAATGGTAGTATTGATGAGTTATGGTTGTCTTATTGGAAAGGATTAGTTTGATTCCCCTTTCTGAAGACTTAAAGGAAGGAGGAATCTTCACGGGTTTTCCTTTTGTTTTCTGTTTCTCTTTAATTCAAAATTTATCTCTGATTTTTGTCCTGGGGGAAAAAAAAGATTCCCTTCTGGACAGGAAGAATGATGTAGTGGCTATGGCACTAGCCTAGTTCTTGAGAGAACAGGTTCAGTTCATATATATATGAAAACTGATATAGATAAGTATTCTCAACTGGAGAGATGACATTTTTGACATTTATCCAGCCAAACTTCTCCTTTCCTTCTTATACATTCTGAAGATATTTTTACTGAGAGTCTATTATGAAAACGTCCTAATACTTATTTGAAGCAGGCAAAAACTCTTAGACTATTAATACAGCATTTTCATTCTTAACCTTCCTATAGAATATGGATCTAAAGAACTGCATGACTGCTATGTTCACTGGTATTGCCTAGCAGTCCAGCATTTCATTGTTATAGGGTTTTCTAGGTTAGAATACTTTTTCTTTTGCATAATTTTGCCAAACATCATTATCTAGACTCTTCTCCTTCAATAAATCTAGGCTTGCCATTTCCAGAATTTCATGTACTGGCTTCGGAGTGCCCAACAGTCTTCCCTGCCACCTTTTTGCACCTACATGCCTTGAGGGCTTTGGGGATTTTTATTACTATCTAAATAAATGTGCAGGTAAACCTGTTTTGCTTCTGTTGCACCAACACTTTTTTTATGCCAGTTAGCTGCATTATACCTATTTGTGACGGTATCTCCTTTATAACATCCTCTGCCTATTCTTCGGGCTCTTGTAGAGGCAATCCTGACAACTTTTAGACTCCAGAAGTGAGGTTCTGTTATAATTTTTACTGTACCTTATGGAGAAAATATATTTATCTGTAAGGGGTATGTTGTTATAAGTTCACACTCATCTACCCACCTTATCCACAGAATGGAAAGTGCATGTTTCAAATATATAAATAAAACCTTTTCAGCAACTTACATTTAGAGCTCAGCGGGATGTTCTCTTCCACTTCATATGTGTTGAGGTTAGCTGTCCAAAAATTCAAAACCTATAGATGTTCCTGCCTGATACACGTTATGAGCATGGACCCTTGATACAGCAACATCTGTGAACAAGAATTATAGAGAAGTAATTTTCTTTTTCTTTGTGCTCGTGAGAAAGAAAATGATCACTTTTCTCTTTGCTCTAACACTTGAAATGATTCTATCAAACACAAACTGTTACTGATGACAAGGTGCAGTCATACTGAAGATTCTGTGGTGGCAGCCTCAGAATATCTTCAGTACTTCACCATCGCATCAGGGTCTCTGCAGAGGCAATACTTAATGAGTGCCTTCTGTCAAAGGTACAATAAAATAATGATGCCTGTTGTCAGCTTTGGTGCCTTGCAGTAGATATGTTTCAGTTGCTGGAGAGAAACTGAGGCCACTTAGGTCTAGTCTACACTACTGTGCTACGTCCGTGCAGCAGCACTTATGCAGCTTCGCCGCTGTCCTGCATCTGGTGAAGACGCACTATACCGATGGGAGAGACCTCTCCTGTCGACATAATTACTCCACCTCAATGAGAGGCGGAAGCTAAGTCGGTGGGAGAGTGTCTCCCGCCGACAAGGCGTGGGTGCGGACACTGCTTTAAGTCGATGTAACTTGCGTCCCTCAGGGGGGGTGGCTTTTTCATCCCCCTGAGCGACATAACATACATCGAGTTAAGCACTAGTGTAGACAAGCCCAGAGTCAGGTCTGATGTAATTTGCATAGTTACATTGTGTACATGATTTTTGTTA